TTTTCATGTCATTGTCAGCCATTTGTATAGCTTCTTTGGACATACATCTTTTCAGATGCTTTCTTTTTTTTTTTTTTTCAAATGCTTTCTTTGGCCAACTTTAAATTGTGTTTTTTATTGCTTAGCTTTAAGTCTCCTTTAGATATTCTGGATACTAGAGGATTTATTTGCATTAATAGTGAGATTAACAATGTGCGCCTTGTCTCCTTGCCACGTGCTCCCTCTCCTTCCTCTCCCACAATCCCAGGGTTCTGGGGTTGAACTTCTGTGGTTATTGTGGGGTGAAGTGGTTCATGCCTGCAATTCCCACACTTTGGAAAGATCATTTGAGCCCTGGAGTTTGAGACCAGACTGGGCCACATATCCATACCACATCTAAAAAAGAAATTAACTAGGTGTGATGATGTGCAACTTTGGTCCCAGCTACTTGGGAGGCTGAGGTGGGAGGATTACATGACCCAGGAAGTCAACGCCATAGTGAGCCATGACAGTGCCACTGCACTCCAGCCTGGGTGACAGAGCAAGATCCTGTCTCAAATAAATAAATAAATAAATAAATAAATAAATAAATAAATAAATAAATAAAAACTTAAAAAAGAGGAAAAGAGGAAGAACTTCTGCGGTTCTTGATCTCAGAGAGAAAGTGCATCCTGCCAAGGCCATTCAGAGAAGGACAATTGGAGCTTGCACCTGGCTTCTCCAGACCCCTTGCTGTGAGGCAGCCTTTGCCTAAGATGCATATGCTTACTTTCCTGCTATATTGTATCATCCTGCTCTCATCGGCTGTACATTTGTGTTTTTATGTTTTTTTTCAGATGGAGTCTCACTCTGTTGCCCAGGCTGGAGTTCAATGGCAGGATCTTAGCTAACTGCAACCTCCACCTCCCAGGTTCAAGTGATTCTCCTGCCTCAGCCTCCCTAGTAGCTGGGATTACAGGCAAACACTAACTAATTTTTGTATTTTTAGTAGAGACAGGGTTTCACCATGTTAGCCAAGCTGGTCTTGAACTCCTCGTGATCCGCCTGCCTCGGCCGCACAAAGCTCTGGGATTACAGGCGAGAGCCACCATGCCTGGCCTAGTCAACTATACATTTGTAAACACTGTCATGCTGGGTCTACTGGGTCTGCTACAGCGATCCAACCCTGTTTATCTGTTGGGAACGTACAGTAGGGCAGTTGTGCCTGATTCTTGTCTGTTAAGTTTTGGAAGCAGGAGAATTATAGAAAAAAGCCACACCAGTATGGTATAAAAGAATTGCAATGTGACATCTAGACACTAAACATCTAGACCCAAGAGAGGTCCAAGGTCAGTCTGATTAATTCTCTGTACTGCCTATCTTCTTTTTTGGTCCCCTTTCTCTCCCTGCCTATCTTCTTGTTAAGAATTTCTGTCCCGAAAGAATTCTTCCCCCCCCTTTTTTTTTTTTTGAGATGGAGTTTTGCTCTTGTTACCCAGGCTGGAGTGCAACGGCACGATCTCGGCTCACCACAACCTCTGCCTCCTGGGATCAGGCAATTCTCCTGCCTCAGCTTCCTGAGTAGCTGGGATTACAGGCATGTGCCACCACGCTTGGCTAATTTTGTACTTTTTTAGTAGAGACAGGGTTTTCTCCATGTTGGTTAGGCTGGTCTTGAATGCCCGACCTCAAGTGATCCACCTGCCTCGGCCTCCCAAAATGCTGGGATTACAGGCATGAGCCACTGTGCCCACTGGAATTCTTTCCATTTTACATCCTTGCCTCGCTTCTTGAAACTGATACTTGGTATGGTTTTTCCTTTTTTTTCTTTTTCTTTGTTGGTCTTTCCTTTTTAATTCCTCTCTCCCTGCTTTCCTCTCTTGTTTTTCTTCCTATCTTTTCCTCCTTCACCCTTTCTTGCTTCTTTTTCCTTCCTCCCTCTTTTTTTTTTGGAGACAGAGTCTTGCTTTGTCTTGCAGGCTAGGGTGCAGTGGCACGATTTTGGCTCACTGCAACCTCTGCCTCCCAGGTTCAAGCAATTTTCCTGCCTCAGCCTCCTGAGTAGCTGAGATTACAGGCACCCACCACCAAGCCCAGATAATTTTTGCATTTTTTAGTAGAGACGTGGTTTCACCATGTTGGCCAGTCTGGTCTCGAACTCCTGACCTCAGGAGATCTGCCCACCTCAGCCTCCCAAAGTGCTTGGATTATGGGCCTGAGCCACTGTGCCCAGCTCTTATTGGGCATTTTTCATGGATCCCCTTGACCTCGAAATTCATTCTCCACCTTTCTCCCTCTTCCCCCAAGAAGCTAACTCTTCCATGATGTATGTCATATGAGCTTCCCTGCCCACTGGCTTCTGATTGGGTTTGGCCAGTGACAGACACTGACACAAATTTGGAGGGTAGGAAGAAAGAGAAGTCAGGCTGTTTATTCTCCTTTTTCCCTTCCTGTCCAGCCACTGTTCTGGAAGGGGCGGGATTCCTTAGTGGCCACAATGGCTATTAAAGCTTTCTCTTCTATAACTCCATTGCTCACCAAGCGCTATAGTGCTTTGCTCTCATTGACTCTTCTGGAAGAGGGGTGGTAATAAGTTCCCTCCATAACTAATCCATGAAGATTTTGATATCATTTTTCCTTTTTCTTTTCTTATTTTTGAGATGGAGTGTTGCTCTTGTCAGATCGCAATGGTGCAATCTTGGCTCATCACACCCTCCTCCAGGGTTCGAGCCATTCTCCTGCCTCAGCCTCCAGAGTAGCTGGGATCACTGGCGTATGCTACCATGCCCGGCTAATTTTGTAGTTTCAATAGAGATGGGGTTTTTCCATGTTGCCCAGGCTGGTCTCAAACTCCGGATCTCAGGTGATTTGCCCGCCTTGGCCTCCCAAAGTGCTGGTATTGCTGGCATGAGCCACCGCGCCTAGCCAGGCTTCCCTTATTCTTACTTTATTCAACTCACCTCAGATAAATCCCTTCATTGTGGTGTCTGTTTCCTACTAGTACCCTGCCTCATACAAGTAGGACAAAAAGATGCCCTAAACCTGGGGCCAGGATAGTGGCATTTCCATTAAGCCTGGGGCGCTCCTTCCCATCAAGTGAGCCTTGTGTTTGGGTCCTAGAAAAAGCGATGAATATAAACCTGAAGTACAGTTGCAAGAGCATTGATTCTTTCTTTCTTTTTTTTTTTTTTTGAGATGGAGTTTCGGTGTTGTTACCCAGACTGGAGTGCAATGGCACGGTCTCGGCTCACCGCAACCTCCGCCTTCTGGGTTCAAGCAATTCTCCTGCCTCAGCCTCCCGAGTAGCTGGGACTACAGGCGTGCACCACCATGCCCAGCTAATTTTTGTATTCTTAGTAGTGACGGGGTTTCATCTTGCTGACCAGGATGGTCTCGAACTCTTGACCTTGTGATCCACTGTCCTTGGCCTCCCAAAGTGCTGGGATTATAGGCGTGAGCCACCGCGCCCGGCCTGATTCTTTCTTATAAGGCTCTGGGATTTTTTGTGAAAAAGTGAGGTGAGAAGGTCAGGCTTTGCTGAGACTACGAGATCCTAAACAAAGAGGACAGTACACACTCACTATTCTCTCCTGCTTGTGTCTGGATAACCGGTTTGTCACAGGAATGCTCAGGTGCTCTCAAATTGAGACTCCATGGGAATGAATAATCTTATCTAAATCAAAGAATGATAAATCAAGATGTCATTTTAGTCTTTGTGTGGCAGAAATGGTACTGGGTGTTGCTTTTGGACTTGGCAACAGGCCTGCATTATTCCCAAGTCAGCTGTATGGCATCCTCCATGACCTCCTGCAATGACAGTAATCACCTAAAAAGATGACTATTGTGAACCTCCTGGTTTGTGTTAATTGTTCCCATGTCTGGAATTGAACTATGTTTGGGCATGTCTCATGACTGGAGGAGTAGGCAACTCAAAGATATTAGTTGGCCGGGCGTGGTGGTTCACACCTGTAATCCCAGCAATTTGGGAGGCTGAGGCGGGTGGATCACCTGGGGTCAGGAGTTTGAGACTAGCCTGACCAACATAGTGAAACCCCGTCTCTACTAAAAGTACAAAAAATTAGCCGGGCCTGGTGGCAGGCGCCTGTAATCCCAGCTACTTGGGAGGCTGAGGCAGTACGATCACTTGAACCCAGGAGTTGGAGGTTGCAGTGAGCCAACATCATGCCATTGCACTCCAGCCTGGACAACAACAGCGAGACTCCATCTAAAAAAAAAAAAAGCTATTACTTGCATCAGTATCAAATTGCACAGTGCACCTATGCAAAGGAAGTTTGAATGGGCACCTGAGGAAAGATGAAAATAAAGAGGATAAGGCTGGGCGCTGTGGCTCACGCCTGTAATGCCAGCACTTTGGGAGACCGAGGTGGGCAGATTACAAGTTCAGGAGACTGAGACCATCCTGGCCAACAGGGCGAAACTCTGTTTCTACTCAAAATACAAAAAATTAGCTAGGCATGGTGGCACATGCCTGTAGTTCCAGCTACTCCGGAGGCTGAGGCAGGAGAATCACTTGAGCCTGGGAGGTGGAGGTTGTAGTGAGCCGAGATCGCGCCACTGTACTCCAGCCTGGGCCTGGGCGACAAAGTGAGACTCTGTCTTAAAAAAAAAAAAAAAAAAAGAAAAGTAAAAGAAAGAAAAGAAAGAGGATAGTACCTTATTTTTCTTGAGTATTGACTTCTCTGCCCAGCCTCAGAGACTTTGAGCCCTATGGTGTTGGAGACAAATCACAAAAGCTGACGGATCTAGTTCCTAGCTGACATCTGATAGCGTGGGAGGAAGCAGTTCCCTGACACCTCAGTAATTTGCAATTTCAGCAATATAAAAAGGACATAGCCTTGGCACAGATGTTCTTATATAGTGATAAGAAAAATTATTCAAAACTTATAAATAAGGCAAAAGGATATCCTTGCCACGTCAGTGGGGCATTGTCTGGCAGACCTGTTCAACAATTAATTCTCTAGGGAAACGCATCTTGTTTGACTTACTGCTTTATATATATATTCTTTTTTTTTTACATTCAGTCTCCACAGAGACTGTAAAAAATTGCCAATTCAATGCCAACTATATTGCAAGTCGTCATGGCGGGGTATTGGGAAAAGCTTTCAATTAGCAATAATCCCACCTTGGATAACTACAATACTGCCACTGTGCAAAGCTTTTTTTTTTCTTTGAAAATGGAGTTTCACTCTTGTTGCCCAGGCTGGAGTGCAATGGCATTATCTCTGTTCACTGCAACCTCTGCCTCCTGTGTTCAAGCGATTCTCCTATCTCAGTCTCCCAAGTAGCTGGGATTACAGGCACATGCCACCATGCCCAGCTAATTTTTCTATTTTTAGTAGAGACAGGGTTTCATTATATTGATCAGGCTGGTCTCGAACTCCTGACCTTAGGTGATCAGCCCACCTTGGCCTCCCAAATTGCTGGGATTACAGGCATGAGCCACCGTGCCTGGCCTGATTTACTGCTTACTATTGGTTAAGATTAAGTCTCTGTAAAGTTACATATTAACTTGCAGACTTCTTTCATGCAAATATTTTCTGTTTGGTGGAAAAGAAAATCCCAAAGCTAACAGTTGTGTTTCCCAATAGAATATCAACCAGTGTTGCATCTAATCTTCTTCTAAAATTTTTTTAGTATCAATATCTTTCAGACTTTCCTCTGAACCTACTTACCATACTGCTGTATCCTCATTAATAAGTTAAATAAAAATTTTAAGGCAGGGCACGGTGGCTCATACCTGTAATCCTAGCACTTTGGGAGGCCGGGGCAGGTGGATCACCTGAGGTCAGGAGTTCAAGACTAGCCTGGCCGACATGGCAAAACCTGGTCTCTACTAAAAATACCAAAATTAGCTGGACGTGGTGGCATGTACCTGTAATCCCAGCTACTCAGGAGGCCAAGACAGGAGAATCACTTGAACCCAGGAAGTGGAGGTTGCAGTGAGCAGAGATTGTGCCACTGGACTCCAGCCTGGGAGACAAAGCGAGACTCCATCTCAAAAAAAAAAAAAAAAAGGCAAAAAAAAAAAAATGGTCTAGGAAGAAAATTCTTGAATAAACAAAACAAAACAAAAGGCATAGGGGCTTGCTTTATATTTTGGATGAGTCAGATTTTTAACCTTTTTTTTCTCAGATTTTTAACTTTCTAAAAATTATACTTTGACAGTGGACACTAACTGTGGCAAAGTTAAGGCACTTAGGTGTCTTATTGAACTATCAATATCAATGAGAGGGCTGCAGCAAATGAGGAGAATGGTGGGTGCTACATGTTCACAATAGCTGACAGACAGGTTCATGAGGACATTAAAAACACCTCCTGGGGACTCCCAGGCATAACTCGGTAAAACAAATATTTTATCCAAACTTCCTGGTTTCATCGTGATTGCGAAGGCAAAGGAAATTAGAAGAGGGAGACTGTCCACGTTTCTTTTCTTTTCTTTTTTTTTTTTTTAAGATGGAGTCTCCCTCTGTCACCCAGGCTGGAGTGCGATGATGTAATCTCGGCTCACTGCAACCTCCGCCTCCTGGGTTCAAGTGATTCTCCTGCCTCAGCCTCCCAAGTAGCTGGGATTACAGGTGTGAGCCACCACACATGGCTCATTTTTGTATTTTTAGTAGAGACAGGGTCTTACCATGTTGCCCAGGCTTGTCTTGAACTCCTGAGTGCAAGCAATCCACCTGCCTTGGCCTCCCAAAGTACCAGAATTTTATAGGCATGAGCTGCCGCTCCAGCCAAGTTTTGCTAATTCTGCAACCTCTGCCTCCATTATTCTATCTCATAAACATTTATCTATTTTTGTCCAATCTGCCTGCTACTGCCTTCTCAATTCAGTTCTTTATAACCTCTTATTTTCTGAGCCTCCTCACCTGCCTCTGGTTCTACCATTCTTATCATTCATTCTGCCAGTCTAATCCATACAACATTGCCAGTTTCTTCTCACTAAAAGAAAATTATTATTATTATTATTTTTTGAGACGGGGTTTCACCATGTTGACTATGCTGACCAGGATGGTCTCAATCTGTTGACCTCATGGTCCACCCGCCTCGGCCTCCCAAAGTGCTGGGATTACAGGCGTGAGCCACCACGCCCAGCCTCTAAAAGAAAATTATAGGCCGGGCGTGGTGGCTCACGCCTGTAATTCAAGCACTTTGGAGGCCAAGGCAGGCGGATCACCTGAGGTAGGGAGTTCAAGACCAGCCTGACCAACATGGTGAAACCCTGTCTTAAAAAAAAAAAAAGAAAATTATAATCCTGTTACTGCCCTGATTAAAAACCTTCAAGGTCCAGGCACAGTGGCTCACACCTGTAATCCCAGAACTTTGGGAGGTTTAGGTGGGTAAATCCCTTGAGCTCAGGAGTTTGAGTTCAGCCTGGGCAGCATAGTGAAGCCCTGTCTTTACAAAAAAATACAAAAATTAGCAGGGCGTGGTGGTGTCTGCCTTTAGTCCCAACTACTTGGGAGGCTAAGGTGGGAGGATTGCTTGAGCCCAGAAGTTCAAGGTTGCAGTGAACCATGATTGCACCACTGGACTCCAGACTGGGCAATAGAGTGAAATTCTGTCTAAAAAAAATAAAATAAAAAATAAAGGGCCAGGTGCATGTGGTGCAGCGGCTCATGCCTGTAATCCCAGCACTTTGGGAAGCCAAGGCGGGAGAATCACCTGAGGCTGGGAGTTTGAGACCAGCCTGGCCAACATGGTGAAACCCTGTCTCTACTAAAAATACAAAATTAGCCTGGTGTGGTGGCACAGGCCTGTAATCTCAGCTACTCAGGAGGCTGAGGCAGGAGAATCGCTTGAACCCGGGAGGCAGAGGTTGCAGTGAGCTGAGATCGCATCACTGCACACCAGCCTGGGCAACAAGAGCGAAACTCTGTCTCAAAACACACACACACACACACACACACACATACACACACACACCCCTTCAAGAAGAGTCATTGTGAAGGTGCAGTTGACGGAACCTGAGGACGGAGTGAATATTGCAATCAAGGGTGTGGAAAAATTCTTCAAGGATTTCTTACGGTCGCTAAGATAAAGTCCAGGCTCTCAGCATCTAAGGCAATTCATAACCCAGTCCCCACCTACTTTATTAGCCTCATTTCCAGGCTCTCCCTAACAAACATTCTCTACTTCAGTTATATTACACTTTTCACAATGCTCTTTCTTGCTTCCTTGCCTTTGGACATACTGTTCCCTTTGTCCTGTCTTGATACTTTTCTCTGCTAGGTGTATCCCTATTCACCTATCAGACTCCTCTAATCAGAGTTCACTAGTGTCTCTTTGAACTTTGCACCCAAGATGCCTTACCTCGCCCTAGTCCTGACTTTAGTAGACCTTAAAATATCCCCATTGGACTGGGCATTACATGACACCTGTAATCCCAGCACTTTGGGAGGCCGAGGCCCGTGGATCACCTGAGGTCAGGAGTGCAAGACCAGCCTGGTCAACATGGCGAAACCCTGTCTCTACTAAAAATACAAAAATTAGCCAGGTGTCATGGCACACGCCTGTAATCCCAGCTACCTGGGAAGCTGAAGCATGAGAATCGCTTGAACCTGGGAGGCAGAGGTTGCAGTGAACTGAGATCACGCCACTGCACTCCAGCCTGAGTGACAGAGCAAGACTGTCTCAAAAAAAAAAAAAAGAAAGAAAAAAGAAAAAAATCCCTATTAACATTAAGCGGAAGAAGCAAAATGAAAAAAAGTTTATTTAGTAGTTTCCCATCTGCTCAACAAAGAAGGAAAAGTAAAAAAACAGTCATACGTCTGCTTATCTTTAGGAAAAGAAACACAGGACAAATAAACCAGAAAATAACAATGCAGATCACCACACAAGAGGTTGGAGGAGGGAGGAGCGATGGTACAGGAAGGATGTGGATGGGAGGAAGTGACCCTCCTGAGTTGGAATTATTACATATTTTTGACTTCTTTTTTTTTTTTTTTTAAACAGAGTCTTACTCGGTTGCCCAGCCTAGAGTACAATGGTGCAATCTCAGCTCACTACAACCTCCTCCTCCCGGGTTCAAGCAATTCTCTGCTTCAGCCTCCCAAGCAGCTGGGACTACAGGAGTACGCCACTATGCCTGGCTAATTTTTTGTATTTTTAGTAGAGATGGGGTTTCACTGTGTTGACCAGGCTGGTTTGAACTCCTGACCTCATGATCCACCTGTCTCGGCCTCCCAAAATGTCGGGATTACAGGCATAAACCACTGTAGCCGGCTCATATTTTTGACTTCTATAAGCATATTAATGTTTTATATAATCAGAAAATGCAATTAAATCAGTAAGAATGGGAAGGGGGAAAAAAACTAAACTGAAATAGACCTGGCGTAGTGCATAACGCCTGTAATCCCAGCACTTTGGGAGGCCTAGGTGGGTGAATCAATTGAGCTCAGGAGTTCGAGACCAGTCTGGGCAATATGGTGAAACCCCATCTCTACTGAAAATACAAAAAATACAAATCTGCACGTTTTGCCATGTACCCCAGAACTTAAAGTATATTAAAAAAATACAAAAATCAGCTGTGCATGGTGGCTCAAGTCTGTAATCCCAGCTACTAGGGAGGCCAAGGTGGGTGGATCACAAGGTCAAGAGATCGAGACCATCCTGGACAATATGGTGAAACTCTATCTCTACTCAAAATACAAAAATTAGCTGGGTGTAGTGGTGTGCCTGTAGTCCCAGCTACTCGGGAGGCTGAGGCAGGAGAATTGCTTGAACCTGGGAGGTAGAGGTGGCGGTGAGCTGAGATTGGGCCACTGCACTCCAGCCTGGCGACAGAGAGAGACTCCACGTCAAACAAACAAACAATGTACCCTAATGCAGGTATTAATTGTTTGCTTTGCTTTGTCTTTTTTTTTTTTTTTTTTTTTGAGATGGAGTCTCGCTCTTTTGCCCAGGCTGGAGTGCAGTGGTGTGATTTTGGCTCACAGCAACGTTCATCTCCTGCTGAAGGCCTCATTAGGGTACTTATATTGTGACTATGGTTCCACTAGTCTGTGAACAATCACAGATGTGAACTATGTCTTATTCACCATTGCCAGGGCCTTGGGGTGGGAGGGTGTCTTCACAGGACAGGACAAATAGCAGGTGCAGTAGGAATGTTTGCTGATTCATTGACCAGAAGCATCTGCAAATGAATGCCCTGCAAAGGA